AGCTAACACGTCAAAAACCTCCACGAAAAGGCCGTGCGCGACCGGCCTCAAGCAGTTGTCCCTTGGGCACTGCGGTCACGCTCTCAGGTCACTGAGACCACCTCTAATCCAATTTCCTTTTCAGGTACCTCCAGAAGAACCCTTCCACGGTGTGGGCAACCGGGAAGTGATAACCGCCCTCATACCTCTAACAGCACTCAAGACCACTGTATTCATAATCAACCTTCCTCTTCAATTCCTATTATTCCTCCTACATCGACTTTCAACTCTAAACTTCCTTTTCGGCTTCCTCCTCAAGTGTCACCATAGCCAACGATTCTAGTGCTCAAACACTGTCCCAGGTCTACTGAAACCTCGCTCCAAACTACACATTGGAGCCTTCAACGTACGCACCCTATGTCAAATCGGTCAGCAGGCTTCCTTGGCTAAAACCCTAGAGTCTCTTTCCATTGATGTATGCTGTGTCTCCGAAACACGCATACAGGATTCCAGTGTGGTCATTCACTTGACCTCACCTCGGCAAAACGGAGAGCCAACGAGATACACCCTCGTGTATCTGGTGACCCGATGGCCAGTTCTCGTGGACTGGCAGGTGTAGGCATAGCACTAAGCATGAGGGCGGAACAAGCACTGCTAGAGTGGATCCCCGTCAACAGTCGTCTATGTGCTGTTCGGCTAAACGGCTCCGTAAGAACTCGGAAGGATAGGGACACACGTCGTTGCCTTTTCGTCGTTTCTGCCTACGCTCCCACTGACTGCAGCTCAGATGATGTGAAAGATGAATTTTACAGAAAGCTTTCTGAACTTCTTCAGAAAGCTAAACGCTCAGACATAGTACTCGTAGGGGTGACTTTAATGCTCAGATAGGTAGCTTAAACCAAACAGAAAGGCATTTAGGTGGATATTTTAGCATTCCGGCACAGCGAACAGATAATGGTGATCGTCTGCTGCAACTGTGCTCAGACAATCGTTTATTTTTAGCAAACACAAATTTTAAGCATAAGGAGAGACATCGTCTAACATGGCGACCCCCTACACCAAACCAACGATGGACTCAAATAGACCATATTGCCATCAGTCATCGTTGGAGAGGGTCGGTAGAAGATTGTCGCTCATTCTGGAGTACCTGCTTGGACTCCGACCATGCCCTAATACGGGCACGCATCTGCTTGCGCCTCACTGGACGCAAAAAAGCCACATTAAAAAGACCCATTAGAACTGAGTTGAGTAGCGAGAAAACCAAAAGTAGGTTCCAGGAACAACTGAGGTCACACTTAGGTAGTTCTGAAGACGAGGCTGACCCAGATGTTGCTTGGAAAGATACAAGCAGCTGTGGAAACAGCAGTGACATCTATTAGCGACTTAAACCACAGAGTTACAAAGAACCAGTGGATTTCTTCAAAGTCTATCACACTGATGGATTCTCGCAAACTCGTCCCATCAGGTTCCGAACATGATGAAGAGCGACAACAAATCAGATCTAGGTTAAGAAAAAGTCTAAGAAACGACCGTGAGCAGTGGTGGGCAACGAAAGCAAAAGAGATGGAAAAGGCGGCGACTATAGGGAACACAAGACAGCTTTACAGACTAATAAAAGAAACTGGAATTAATAAGTCAAGTGTAAGTGAGATTATTTCGGAAAAAGACGATACTCTCATCTGCTCCCAGTCCAGACGTTTAGAACGATGGGCGGAACATTTCAGAGAACAGTTCAGCTGGCCTTCAGCTACTCTACAACTACCCTCCATTCCCAGACAGTGTGAATGGAACATTGAAGTAGGTCCCCCAACTCTTGCTGAAGTTCAAAAGGCTATAGTTAATCTGAAACGAGGAAGGGCAGCTGGTCCAGATGGACTGGCTCCAGAGGTCTTTAAGGATGGTGGTCCAATTTTAGCGATTAGGTTGACTAATATTTTAGCTAAGATCTGGGAATTAGACGTTATCCCATCTGACTGGTCACAATCACTTATCGTCCCAATATATAAGAAAGGGTCAAAATCATCCTGTGACAACCACAGAGGGATTAGTTTAACTAATATAATATCTAAAATACTAGCCTCGATAATTATCAGACGCCTAACTAAGACTCGTGAACTGCAAACACGAGAGAACCAAGCTGGCTTCAGACCTGGTCGTGGCTGCATCGACCACATATTCACCATTCGTCAGGTTCTAGAACACAGGCATACTTATCGGCGTCCGACAATGGTGGTCTTTCTCGACTTAAAAGCAGCATTTGACTCTGTAGACCGCGAGATTCTGTGGCAGTGTCTGTCATTGAAAGGCGTACCCCAGAAGTACATAAACCTTGTGAAGGCTCTTTACTCGAACACTACTAGTCGAGTCAGAGCTTATGGCGAACTGTCATCTACTTTTGCAACCTCAAGTGGTGTCCGTCAAGGCTGTCCACTTTCCCCATTTTTGTTTAACTTCATCATAGATCTACTGATGGAAATAACTTTCTCGTCGACTGAATTCTCGGGTATTGATCTCCTTCCAGGAGGTCCACTTATCGACTTAGAATACGCAGATGACATAGTCCTGTTTGGTGAAGACGCTGACAAAATGCAGAGTCTTTTGGTAGCACTAAGCAACAATGCCAGAATGTTTGGAATGCGCTTCTCTCCCTCTAAATGCAAGTTGTTGCTTCAGGACTGGTCTGCGTCAACACCTGAACTAAGGATAGGGAGTGAAGTAGTCGAACGCGTTGACAACTTCACTTATCTTGGAAGTCTGATCAGCCCTAATGGGTTGGTGTCTGACGAAATCTCAGCACGGATTCGAAAAGCTCGTTTGGCTTTTGCCAACTTACGTCACCTTTGGCGAAGGCGAGATATCCGTCTATCAATAAAAGGACGAGTATACTGCGCGGCAGTCCGTTCTGTTTTACTTTACGGCAGCGAAACATGGCCTTAAGAGTAGAAGACACTCGTAAGCTACTAGTATTTGACCACAGATGCCTTAGAAATATTGCTGGCGTCTGCTGGGATCACCGGGTAAGTAATAGTGAGGTTAGACGCAGGGTATTAGGGAATGATGGTAAATCAGTTGATGAGGTTATGAATCTTCATCGACTGAGATGGTTGGGCCACGTATTACGTATGCCTGAACACCGATTACCACGACGTGCAATGCTATCCGGTATTGGAGATGGTTGGAAGAAAGTTAGGGGCGGCCAAACCAAAACGTGGCATCAGTGCTTGAAGTCACTAACTTCTAGTCTGAGCCATGTTGGTAGATGCAGACTACTTGGTTGGGGTCCGCGTGACTTTCGTAACCAATGGTTGGAGACTCTTGGTGACATGGCTCAGAATCGATCACAATGGCGTCGGTGTATACACTCCCTGTCTTCCCTTAAACTAAGAGATTAAAATCACTTCATATCTTTCTACGAACCAATTCTTTCTTCTTGTACTATATCTCTATATGCAATCTTCCTCTTATTTATTACCACCTTTGACCTAACCACTGCTATGAATCCGGTGTTCATCCTGTTGTGCTGATGCGGTATGGCAACCTGGACCGATGCACATATGTGCCTGGTCCTACGTTGTAGCTGACTGACTGACTATCAATGTACCATTTAGTCAGACGGCACACAAGTGACTGTTCATTGGGATCCAGTCTAACAGGGCATACTTTGCTTCTTAGTCCTATACCTAAACTAGTGAGGTCACGGGAAGTAACAATGGTGTCTCTAGATTGACTACTTATCTATTATCACCAAAGCCATACTGCAAAAACTTGTGCACTTTTACCTAGTTAAACATACATCAGTCAGCACTATGAACTAAAACATCTGGGATCCAAATATATCACCAATTAAATGCTTGAAGTGGTTACAAAAGCTCCAAACTGGTAAAAGTAAACCTGTGATCTAGATTCATGACTTCATAAAGTCAAACTCCTAAACACAAAGTTGTTAACTGTACAATGTGATTTCAAGTGTAACAAGCATTAAAAGTAAAGTATCATCTTTACCATCAAACAACGGTCTATTCTCTCGAAAACTAACGGTATCCTTTAAGCGGCCACTTTGTCGATGAGGAAATAAGCGTCTCATGAAATATTGGATAAAATTTTCTAGCAGAAGACTCCTAGCTGGCTTGTAGTAAGGTACAAAATGAATTACTATGAATAATAAACACTTGTTGTTTATCCCTTTAATTGTTAGACAAAAAAATTGAGATTGATCCATGAAACCAATTGGTAATTTGAGACATGAAAACGTAGAGATTTGTCCGGTTATAATTTTGATTCTATAAATTGATGAACTTGAAGCAGGACAGAGACAATAACGCCAAGACATGAGTCGAAACCAATCCTTCTTTATATTTGTTTAAAATATTTTTCGTGGTACTATGACTAAGTCTGATCGTAGTCAAGGAACGGGGTAGCCTCAAACTATCTAATTACCATGATCTTTTCAAGTTGCTTTCTGTCTGCTTAAGGCTGAGTGCTTCTATATGTTGTAGATTTTTACTTGCAAGACGAATATGACTTATTAGAACTTGATTATTACAAGTGCTAGGAATTCCAACCAAGTCCTAATAGCATTTGAACGATAATAGAAACCGACAGGAATAAAAATAAACTGAGAGGTAAAATAAGGCCATATATGAATATCTTTAACTTAAAGAAACAGGGAGCAATGGACGACGTCACGCTACTTGGTTTTCTTTTTCTAATCTCGACATTAATAAGCAATTGAATCAGTTAGCCGATAGCTTCAGGAATGTCAGTTTGAGTCATTTTTCCACCTACTAGGATTTGAAACTATAATAAATAGGTGCTAGAGGCAAGGACTTTTAACTGGTTTGGGTAGGAAGGTAAATAGTTTTATCAACCTAATCATCTCGAAGCGTGGAGACAGAATTTAATTACAGATTTAACCAATAAAAAGCAACTCCGAAACTCTTCAACTAAAAAAACAACTGTCCGTAAAAGCGACCCAAGCATGTGGTATAAATGGTAGGCTTAACTACTTTTAAATCACTTACAGATTTTCTGATCTCCCGGACAAGTTTATGAAACGCATCTTCCACACCTTGTCTGGTCTTGGCGAGGTCTCAACATACGGGATATTATAAGAATGGGCTAAGGATTTTGCCTCCTCTGTACAAACACTGCGATTCGTGAGGTCAACTTTGTTTCCAACAACTACAAATGGAATGGAGAAAAGTTTTGTTAACTTACGAACCATAGGAACTTCGTCAGCATCTTTAACTCTTTTGATCTGCTCTCGATATTGATTTATGTCATCGTAGCTCTTGGAGTTGTTCACGGCAAATACGCATAAAAATCCCTCTCCAGTACGCATATACTGATCTCGCATTGCACTGTTTGGAGAATAAATTTATATTTTGAATTACCTGTATTCCTCTTGCCCAGCGGTATCTAAGATATCTAACAAGCATATTTCTCCATCAATGACCATCTGTTTTCTGTAAGAGTCCTCTACAAAAAGTTTAAATGCCTGGTCTTGTATTGGCTATACCTATCGTTGGGTCATATTCCTCAACAAAACTATGGTATAGTTATTAAAAATATTAAAAGCTTACTGATTCTGAATAAGCTGGATAGTAAGAGCACTTTTGCCAACTCCACCAGCTAGACGAATAGGTATTCATGTGTAGATAGCGAAGCTTACCTCCAACAACAACTAACTTGTACTCAGTCATAAGAAACTATCAAGCACGAACGAATTACGCCAAAGGCCCGGATGGCCTTGAAGTGTGAAACATAACAATTGAGAATAATATCGAATGGATCGACAGTAAGCACAGTTCAACTATTTCTGTGACAATACTGCATGGAAAAAGAGTAGAAACTTCACTATAAACTCCATACCACTTACTTAATAATTTGAGCTATAAATAGAAGATAAAATTAATTATTCAAACATTTGCTTTTGGGACAGAAACCTGATCGTTTAAACGAGCAGTTAACAAATCTCCAAAATAAATAGCTCTGTAAGTCTTCGGCAATGGATGCTGACCACATTATTTTTAATAGACTCAGCTGAATGCGCTTAGTCATGCATCCGCACCAGATCACGAGTGGGAACGCCATGCTCAACATTCCCTGCAACCGCTAGCCAGTATAGATCAGTCGATCCTCGATATATTGATAACCTGCCGAGTATATCTTCGAACCTCCTCACATCTGTCTTTAAATTTCACCTGATGGGTACGATTCATAGTACGTGTTACTAGTTAAAGCGTTTTCAAACTACAAATACCCATAGCATCTTCATTGGTGAGCCTGACGTGATCTGGCACACTGATTTACGAACTATGAGTGTGTTCCTTTTTGGAATATCATAAATCGCTGCTTTATTTTAATTTTTTATATTGTGATATTTTTCGAGTTTTTGGATATTTTTTCCTCGTTCATTCCTATACTTCATATTTGCTATGACGGAGCAGATCCCTAAAGTAGTCAAGTTAAAGATTATGTCCCCACCTTCGTTTCAACTAATGCCCTTCTGGCAAAACAACATTGAAGCCTGGTTCTCCTACGCAGAGGCTGACTTCCACGAGCACGGCATGGACGTCACACGTGCACAATTCCTCGTAGTAGTCAAGGCACTACTGCGCGAATTTAACAGGTACGTAACACCTAGTATGTTTACTAGTGATGTTTCGGAACCCTACAAAACACTTAAGCGATCTACTCTTAAATTCGGAGATCTAACTGATCGATAAAGGTTAGACCAACTCCCTAATAACATCGACTTGCAACACGGTCCTGCGACAGACATGTAAAGAATAAGAGAAGTTATCGGCCGAAGAACCTTCGATGATGGCTTATTCGAACAACTTTTCTTACCCAAACTTCCTCGACAGGTGCAGGCTGTACTGGTCTCGGATCAAAACAGTGCCATTATAGTGACTCACGTGCAATCGAGTTTAGTTCAATCAAGGTCTTTTGTTGACCTATTTAATGGACAAAGTCATCCATGATATAACAACTTGTTGTACTATCTTCACTATTATGCTTGTATGAAATACATATGCTTGAACATTGTTTAGCGCCTACGCATGTATTCATTCTGCTAGCTTCATTATTAACTGCTTAATCTATTCGCTGACTCATCCATTTTCCTATACATATATATATGTGTACATTTGCACCCATTCACTACTACCACTACTACAACTACTTGCTACTGCTACAATCGTAGTTCGCTTGCTCATTCATTTTGCCTCTCTGCTGTCTGGTCCGAATTATCTACTAAATAAACTGTAGTAGCTGCTTCTTTTTGCCTTCTGATTTCAAACATCGTTGAAGATTATACGATAACGGTTCGAGGGTGATTAATTAACGAAGCACAGCCACTACAGAATTGGTAATCCCGACGTGAGAACGGGAAGCGAATTTTGACGAAATAATCAAATTCCAAAAATTCGACTACCTTCATCTCAATTTGGATTATCAAATGAACTATAATTACAACTGTGGATTTATATTATTATTTTAATTACACTTACATTATTTCGCAAACATTATTAAACGTGACAATTATAATCATAATAAATAACAATTATTCATAAACAATTGATATATTGGTGCAATTTAGTAAGTCTGTTCCATTTTATAAATTGTGCCATTTTTTTATTATCATTGTTTTCGCCCGTCTATTTTTCCTTGTGATTGTTAAATTATTTTCGTGTGCTACTTAATTTTTATAAGCATGTCTTATGAAAACACAGTTTCAAGCGTACAGCAAGCCTCGTCCGTGAGGTCTCTTAACCTCCCTGCCCCTTCTTTTAAAATCGCAGACCCAAAACTTTGGTTTATAAGACTTGAAAATTATTTTCTCGCTAACCGCATTCTTTTGCAAAAGGATAAGTTCGGCCTGACAAGCACACTACTCCCAGACGAAGTAGCTGACAGCGTTCGAGAGGCACTAGCAAAACCAGACACAGAAAAACCATACGACGTGCTAAAAGAGGCTGTAATTAAAACTCTCTCTCTCAGTGACCAACAAGCCGTCGAACAACTTCTTAACCAAGTACAAATGGAGATAGAACCCCATCACAACTAAAAAATTATATGAAAAGTTTACTTGGCGATAGACACATTGACAATAATCTCTTTTATCAACTGTGGCTCCGCCGACTCCCTGCAAATATACAGCAGATCCTAGCTGTGGGAGATACGGATGCTGATTTAGACAATATAGCAAAGATAGCCGATAGAATATACGAAAGAAGCAAGCAAGCAAGCCCTCCACTACACAATGTGACGGTAGACGATAGACTTGATACTCTACAGAAGGAAATAAATGTTTTGTGCCGAAAACTCTCAGAGTTAACGCAGAGAGAAAAGCCACGAAGGTCATCGCGAGATCGTTCGCGTGAAAGGACCCGGTCAACTTCTAGACGACGCACAACTCCCGCGATATGTTGGTATCATCAAATGTTCGGCTACAGGGCCAGAAAGTGCCTACAACCTTGTAGATTTAACAGGAATAGTAACCGATACCCACGAGTATCAATGGCAACAGCATCAACACACATAATGCCTGAAAATAGTCGCCTCTTTTATATACAAGACCGGACCACTGGCGCACAATTCTTAGTTGACACTGGAGCGGAAATTAGCGTAGTACCTCCATTTAACGAGGAAAGAAAAAACATTAACCCGTCGTTAGTGCTAAGAGCAGCAAATAAATCAGATATTAAGACATATGGTAAACGGAAATTGTCCCTAGATTTTGGACGTGGCGCTTCATACCGTTGGAACTTTGTCATAGCAGACGTATCGATGCCCATAATAGGCATAGATTTCTTATGTAACTTTGACCTGCTAGTAGACTCTAGACGACACAGACTTATAAACGGCAGTCAAACCACTTCGATAAGAGGAATACTTACGGAAGCCGTTTCAATGAACCTTGTGATAGATAAAAGTTGTGGTGATCCATATAAATTGTTGTTAAGGGAGTTCCCTGAACTCGTAAAAGTAACATACAATAAAGCGGATCTCAAACATTCTATTCAGCATCACATCGTAACGAATGGTCCACCAATCAATGCAAGACCAAGAAGGTTAGATCCCAAAAGACTAGCCATCGCAAAACAGGAATTCGACAAGCTAATGAGGCTAGGCATTATAAGGCCATCGAACAGCCCGTGGGCATCCCCGCTACATATGGCCCCGAAAAAGAATGGAGAGGTTAGGCCATGTGGGGATTACAGAGCACTAAACAAACAAACGGTAGCTGACAGATATCCTATACCGCACATTCATGATTTCACCTACAGTATAGAAGGCACTACTATCTTCTCGAAGATCGACTTAGTCAGAGCATACTACCACATCCCTGTTGCCCCACAAGACATACCGAAGACAGCAGTAACAACCCCATTTGGGCTATATGAATTCCTGCGTATGCCTTTTGGACTGACTAACGCGGCACAAACCTTTCAGCGGTTTATCGACCAGGTCATTAGAGGTTTACCTGGGGTATACGCGTATATCGACGATTTATTAGTAGCTAGCACCACTAAGGATGAGCATATACAACAACTACGGCAATTATTTATGCGACTCAGAGAACACGGCATTTCTATAAATATTGAGAAGTGTGAATTCGGAAAAGAATCTTTACAGTTCCTAGGTCACAATATAACTTCTCAAGGCATCACACCAATAGCAACAGAAGTCGACGCCATTAGGAATTATCCCCTACCCGACTCATGGAAAAAGTTACGCCGATTTCTCGGGTTAATAAATTATTACAGACGATTTATCCCGAATTGCGCGTCAATATTGCAACCACTAACAGATGCATTACGCGGAAACGCACGGACATTCCAATTATCACCAGACGCGATCCAAGCATTCGAGAACGCTAAAAAAGCACTAAATAAAGAAGTGACACTAACTAGACGAAAGAGCGAAACACCGTTAGCTATCATGACGGATGCATCAGATGTAGCGGTAGGAGCCGTTTTACAACAATTAGTAAATGGCATATGGGAACCGCTCTCATTTTTTCGAAAAGACTGAATCCGACACAAACAAGATATAGTACTTTCGGAAGAGAACTCCTAGCGATTTACTTGGCAATAAAACATTTCCGACATATGATTGAGGGTACCATTTTCACAGTATATACAGACCATAAACCCCTCACAAAAGCATTGAACGCCAAACAGGACAACTACTCGCCGAGGGAAATCCGACAATTAGAATTTATTTCCCAATTCACGTCTAACATACAGTATGTCAAAGGCAATAGTAACGAAGTGGCAGACGCGCTATCCAGAACGATGGTCAACGCTCTCGTCCAGTCCGAAATCGATTATCACAAGTTAGCAGCATTACAAAATATCGACGTCGAGTTAAACAGACTAAAGTCTGCCAACACAACCTCGTTAGTTCTCAAAGAAACTCCATTGGAAGAAGTAAGCATCACCTGCGATATTTCTACAGGTCAACCAAGACCATTTATTCCAAAGCCGCTAAGGCGAAACATTTTCGAAGCCATGCACAATATTTCGCATCCCGGAATAAAGGCCACCATCAAACTAATCAGCGAACGTTTTGTATGGCCAAGTATGAATCGGGATATTCGTAATTGGACGCAAGCGTGTATAAAATGCCAGAGAGTTAAGATACATCGCCACACCAGTTCCGCAGTAGGTCATTTCCGTCATCCCGATAACAG